ATCCTAGTCGTATATCTTCCATGAGGGGTGACCAGGACTTTTTCGTTTCGATGCTATTGTCCAACACGCGCACCCACACATTCAAGAGACTAGGATCTATCTCACAACGCTTCCAGACTTATTGAAAAATCCAATAAATTCCAAAAGGATCAGTCCTATAGCCGCTGCCACAGCTAGATCTGCGCTGCGAAACTCCGTGCATGCCTTTTACGCTTTCAATATTAATTGTTCCTGAATAAAATGATGAGTTGTGTATAGTTTATTATAAAAAAAATTAATTTTTTGTTACATTTATTTTAAAAAATGTCGAGAAATCACGCATACAAAGAAATACCGTACATGAAGTTGTTCGAAACGTAATTAAGAAATAAAAAGAAAAACGCACACAAGAAATGATGTAGTGAATGCAATCGATGACAATCATATACAGTACATAAAAACCACGACAAATAAATTACTGAAGAAAATACATGGTTAAGTGACTAACTACTGGGGATTCTATAATGGTATGTACGAGTTAGGATAAGTTCGGAATGTGAGCTATCATTGTGATTTTAAGTTTGAGATAATGAATAATGACAAGTCTTTCGCTTTAAAATCTTAGAGTACTTTTAATAAATAGCTGCTTAGCCCATATAACCTTTCACGTACTTCCTTCTATAAAGTTCCACGGCTTCATCACCAGCCTTTTCTCGTAGAATTTCTTCAGTTACAAAATGCGCGAGGGATTCCGCACCCTGTGATGATTGAATATTCAACAGTTCACAGCGTCCTCCTGTCTCCTTCGCAATTTTTTCAAAATCATCTTTTGCATACTTAGTAAGATAAAATGCATGAACAGGGATCTTTTTATTTTTCAATTTTTTCAATTCATCTTCAAAATATGTTGGTGCATCAAATCTAGTCTGTTTCCAATAGACTTCGCCAAAACGAGCTCGCTTACTAGTTACATCAGATATAGTATTTGCTGGAGCGTCTCCTATCAAAATAACTTGAGCAATTCCGCCTTGTGTCTCACTCTCTTTAGCTGTATACCAAAATCCTATTTCAATCGCTTCCGCTCCCCATCCACCTTTAGGACCAATAGCGTCCATAAATGCTCTTAAACCACTGCCTTTTGTGCTCCAAGGAGAAACTTGCAAAATTTCATCTTCTCTAGAGTTATAGTTTCGATATATCGCAAACTGCATTTGAAATGCATCGTTAGGCAATCCTTTTTCTTCTAAAATAGCGGAAGCGCGTTCAAACATCGTACAAACAGTTTCTTTGGCAGCAGATAATAAACTTGACATAGAACCTGTGGCATCCATAAGCAAAACTGTACGAGACGAAGCTGTTACTAAATTTGCTCCTTGATTTTGATTCTTTAAAAACTCTTTCACTGCTACAATATTACCCTGATTTAAGTCTCTCATGAAATTTTTCGAAGCGTTGTGCTCCTGTTTGCGTTGCTTTATGCCAATTCCTTTGCTATTGCACTGACTCTCAAAAATAGCGCTACGAGCGTTATTCAAATTTTCATAAAGTGTAGAGCCCTTTATTTTTGGTAGTTCAGTGGCCCAAGCAGAACCAAGAACCCACTCTAAGTCTTTATCTAACAAGATCATTCTGAATGAACCCAAATCTCCTTGTCGCGCTGCTCTTCCCATAATCTGATATTCTTCTGATAATTCTTGTGCAAAGAATGTTTGCAGCACATGAATGCCACCATTAGCTAGGAGTTGCTGATTATTGCAAACAAAGTCAGTTCCTCGACCAAAAATTCGAGTCATTAGTGTCACTTTTTCGATAGTCGCTGCACGTTTTATATAAAGCGCTCGGTCCTTTACAGATACTTTCTCCGTTATTATTTGGACGCTCTCTTTGATTGATGATAATTCAGAAGAATGATAAAATTTCATCAGCTTATCTTCAGATTCAAAAAATACAAGAATCGCACGCTTCGCACGGCACATCACATCGATTTCTCCACGAATTTCCATGAAATACTCTGCTTCCTTCACTGTACGTACATCAGTTGCACAATTGTAGTTGCGTTTGCATTCTCCGAATACTGATGGCATATATGTACTTTTGCGCACTTTATACACCTTTGCAAGTATTTCTTTTTCTGCTCTAGCAAGTGTCTTTAAAGTACCAGTTACACCAGTGATATAGGCAAAATCATGGGGCATTTCAGCATATGAGAAGGCTCCACAGTTGACTATAATGCCCACATTAGCCTCTAAACTACTCGAACTAATTTTACCATTTTTGTTTTCATGATAATACGCCCAAATCGTATCATAGCCACGAACTACATTCTCTGATATAGATTCACCATCGACATAGACAATTCTATCATTTTGAACAAGATAAGTCGATGACTCAAAAGATTGTAAGGAAGCTATCATATCCTTGATAGCTTCATCCAGAAGAAAAGTCCAGTTACTGAAATGAGAAGCACATGCAGCATACGCCGGCATTGCTTTGATACCATTTAAGCTTCGTATAGTCCTATTCGCCCAGATTGTATCTAATAATATTTTTATCGCATCATGTTTCAGATATACGACAGGTGTATAAACCCCACCATAGTATTCATCGCTTAGAAAAACGTCAACTTCATCAATCAACAATACTTTCGGACGTATGCGTTTTGTCTCTGTAATTATCTCTAAAGCACTTTTGTTTTTCAGGATCATATCACGCACCTTCTCTCGTACATCGCATTGTTCATTCAATAAATTTTCGCATAATTTGTTAAAAGTACCATATTCGATATGCTTTTGTATTCCAAGCGCTCCAAATAATGAAGCAAACGCTTCTTTATCTCGAGTGCTTAGAACGTCATTATAGCAGGAACAATTTACGTCAACTCCGATGAGAGCAAAAACGCAGGCAATGGTTGACATTATCACTGATTTACCTTCTCCTGTTCCTACCTGTACAAAATTATTAAATAAATTTCTAGAGATCCCAGTAGTTTTATAACCAATACCAAGAATACGAAATATAGAAATAACCTGTGCAACATGCGGCTTCAATAGGTAAGCTTCGCTAGACTCAATGCCACGTGTCGCATTGTAGTGTTCAGTATTTTTCAAAGTCCAAATGACAAAAATATGCGCGAGTAACTCAGGAACTTTGTCCTTGAAACTTTGATTCAAACTAAGGGATGTGGAGTTTGAGGCTACTTTGTCCACAAAACATATAGTACTAGAAATCAATGTGTTTAGTGAATCTTTCTGGCTCGCTTGATCACAGGATAATAGATTGCTCAATAAAAGATCATCATACTCTTTCTTAAATGTCAGAAACCGTCTCCTCAACATATCTTTATCAAGATCGTCTCCTTCTAAACGTTCTAGCACATAATCTAGATCATCCTGCTTTTGCATTTTTGCATTACGCTTTCGCCAATCTTCTCCTTTCAAAAGAGCGTGATCAGACATTACCCTCTGACCGATATCTGTTCTTTCTAATCTCATACTCAAATCGGTGATATATTTGGCACCATGTTTTTCTTTAGACTTTTTTAGGGCTTCATCTATGTCTGTATTGATTTGACTATCAAACATCGGTAGATTTTCAGCAAATGATTTTACTGCGACTAACGCTTCAGTGGCTTTTCCTAGATCTTTGCCAGAATTTGCAAATTCTTTACAAAACGATGTTACTTTTTCGAAAACTTTTGCTGTGGATGTGTCTACAGTTGATTGAGCCTCCACATCTGGAAGACTTAAATGTTTATCAAAAGCTATAAGATGCTCGTAATACTTGCGAAAATGATCACATTCTACTTGATTAAGTTCGGGTTTTGATGCAGTATCAAGAAGCTGTTTGCCAATTTTCTTAGCTTTCATTTTGAGATTCTCTTCTGACTCCTTTGCATTGACGGAAGTTGGCAGGACATCTTGAAGTTTAGCATCAATTTCTTTTAATTTACTGATTGATTTCTTAAGTTGACTGAAAAACTCTTCACGTTTGGCTTCAAATTTGGTGGTTTCATCACTAATAAGTTCAACATCTAGTTGAGCCTTTAAACAACTTATTTCCTTTGTAATCTCAGAAATCATATCGGTATGTATGACTACATTTTGAACGTCTGGAAACAAACTTTTCGTCGCACCGTCTTTCATGGAATAGTCCTTAACTCTATCCAAAAGTTTTTCCCATTTCTTGGATATGTTCATAACTGTATGTAAATTATCAACGGCCATTTCTTTAAGGGCGTCCTTATAGATTTTAGAATTTTCTTCGAAATACTCTCGCATTATCTTGAGATCTTTCGTACAGTTTTGTATAGCAGTTTCTGGTAAAAATTCTCCGTCAGTAGTGTCTTGCTTGCGGGAAAAATCGACACAAGCAATTGCATTGCTGAGCGCTTTTTCACCAATTTCTGGTTTCTCAATCTTTGATATCTCAGCCAGAACTTTCGAGCAGCGTTCAAACCTTTCTATCGTTGATTTACGAGTAGTGTCATAGATCTCCTTTATTCCTGGAATATAACGAGATACAGATGCTTTAAATTTGATGATCTTGTCCATGATACCAAGAGCAGACTGCATATCATTCTCATCTAAAGAACTTTGCAAGTTTATTCGATATAAGTGCAACCTTTTTAAAATTTCTTCGTTCATTTTTTCAGAAAATTCATCCATCTCTTTCTCCTGAAATTGCTTGGCAAGTGCTCCTATTCTTGTAATGGTATGATCGTTTTCATCTGAAGATTTAAGAGAACTCTCCAACTCACACTTATACTCTTGTTCTTCATTTTTGATGCTCGTAGTCATTTCTTCAATATGTGCTTTGAATACAGCTTGCAACTCATCTGGTATAAAATATAACGCATGATTTATGGGACGTAGTTTCGCAGAACGCTGCCTCATGGGAATTTTTCCAACTTCTTCTATTGCCTGACTAAAATTCTGCCTTAGTTTTCCTAACAGAACTGTGTAGGCTGGTTTGTATTGAGAACGATGTTCGGAAACTTGTTTTAATTTAGCTAAGAGATCTCTGGGCGGTCTCTCAAAGTACTTGTCAACATTGCTAAAGTCATTCTGATTCGGAAGATTCCTAGCCAAGTTATCTAATTTCTCTTTCAATTCTTTAGTCTTATCAATAACTTCCTGTGATGTAACGATACCTTTGAGATCACGATGCACGTTGCCGATGTTTTCAATCCCTTCTTCGGCCTCGGTAAAATTATCATTATCCATGTATATTTCAATTGAACTAAGTCCTTTTAAAATAATATCAGATAGAATTTGGTCGATTTCAGTTTGAAAGTTTGCAAGATCACTTTTAGTTTTTTCTTCTAAAAGATCCATAAGATTACATTGAGTCAATGCTATTCGAATTATTTCAATATTATCTTTAATCTCTTTTATCTGTCCTTTATTATCTGCCTCTCTTTCGATTTTTCCATATAGCCAATGTGCCGTGCATTTCGTATCCTTCATCAGCTTGATTAACGAACTTTGCAGTTCGTATTCTATCTGCCTTTTCGCCTTCGTATTTAAGGGTTGATCATCAATGTCAGATAGCATTCTACCTGCATTTGCATAGTCGCATTTAGATATGTAGTTTAATGTATTCCTGTACGCTTCTTTAACATCCTTATTCATATCTAATTGGTATTTTCTGTATAAGTCACTAAATCGAGTGTCACCACGAAGTCGATCCAAACAACTCAATGCGTGCACGATAACTAATTGCTTTTTTAGGTTTTCGCTCTCACCACGAATTTGATATTCTTCCATTGTGCGATCCAAAGTAACATAACAATCAATGATTTCTCGCTGCCAATGTGCTATTGTCTCGGCTCCTTTCACACATTCGAAAACTTCAGGAAAGTTTTTGAGTGAAGATAATTCTTCTAAACGAATGTATAGTTCATGAGAATACTGCAAAGGACCTCCTTCAACTTCACTATTTTTTGCATTCTGATATAGTCTAGCTATTTCTTGATTCAGAAAATGCCCATATTCAGTTATATATTTTTGCAAGATCCCATTAGTTTCAATTGCCGTTTTTTTAACCTGAGTATCTCCTACTTTTTCGCATTGAATTACATACAATAATGCATTATTGGCAACAGAACCATCAAATCTACCACTAAAGTCATACGTTTGCTTATTTTTCTCACGTTCAGAAATAATTTTCTTCTTCTCTTCAATTTGTGCGTTTAATGATTCAATACTATTTTGCTTTTTCTCTTGAAGATATTTCGTTCCTTCAGAAGAAACAGAGTCGCTTCTTACTAATAACAAAGATTTATATTTTCTTCTTATTTCTTCAAGTCGATTTAATGTATCACTCAATGCTCTACAACTCTCTTGAATTAGTTGTAGTTTCTTGTCATATTCTTTTGTGATGCTCAGGTTAGCTGCATACACGTCGTCTATTTTTGAAAACCCGTGCTTCTCTAAATAATTATCTTCTTCTGACTTTTCTTTATTGAGAAACGCTGCTCCTTTGGCCACGGCTTTTTTCACTATATTTTTTTCTGAGTTTTTACCTCTCATCACCATGTATTGCTGAATAATACCTTGCAACTCGTTTACCTTTTCTTCTTTCTCATGTTTCATAACTTCTTCCTTATCAATCTCTTTCTTCAGTTTTTTGTTAACGTCTTCAATCTCATCATTCAGTTGATCTATATTTAAATACTGCTCTTCTTGTAAATATTTTTGAGCTGGTTGCAAATTGTAATATTCATTTTTAATTTTTTCAAGTTCTTTTAGTTGCTGTTTTAAAGTATAAACATCTCTGTCCTGCAAATTAAAAGTCTGTTGGATGCTATCGAATGCTCCTTGTGTTGTTTCACGAAACAAATCTAGAATCCTAACTCTGTACTTCTCAAGATCCGGAATGCTGCGCTCCAAAATTTTCATAGACTCGATTTTCTCAACGAAGCCCTGTGCAACGGCTACGTTGTCGGGATGTCTCAAATGAAAATCGAGTCTCTTCAATTGTTCTTCCAATTTCTGAGCATTTTCAATCAATTCTTCTGTAATGCGACGCATCAAAGTCTCAAATGTTCCTGGACTAACGCGATTGATCCATTCTGCATTTTTTAATCGTGACAATGATCGTGCAAGACGTGAATAATTGATGCTACCTGACTTATTGCCAATGTCAAGAAGCAACTTCTCGGCATTTGGTTGCAACTGTTGCATATATCCACGTACATTTTCAACAGTGTGATAATATGTTCCAGAAGTTCTTCCTTCAATTTCTGGTATTTTTCGAATGGTGTCCATATCATTGACTAACTTTTCGATTTGTTCTAAAGCATAATCACCATTTTTCTCGAAGAGTTCTTTTATTCTTATATTGATCTCATCGAAATACTTGACAATTTTTTCGATGAAATCATTGTAAATTTCGTTCAAAGTCTTGAAATTATTTGCGCAATTAGCTGATTTAGTTCTCAACAATTCTGCAAATGTGAAAAAACGATCATGCAGCGTTGGAGTTTCTTTAGCCGATCGCAATATTTCCATATACTCTTGGAGAATGTTTACATCATTGTCATTTAACCGAACCTTGTCTAAGATCGGTTCTGCTTTTTCACTGAAACTATTCAAATGCTTCAGCAGAAGTGCAAACGTGTCTTGATACTTATCTTCCACTTTTTCACTTAAGTGAACTTTGAGAACATGTGCTGATTTATATATCACAAGAATAATTTCTGCAACCTGTTTGAATTCATTTGCTAATATAGGACCGCGAGCAGATTTCACTAACGCATCAAAACGATCCTCAAGATCTTTACAGCTTTTACTGTAATCTTGTTCAAGTTCTGGAAACGAGTTTTTAAGTACATGAAGGTTTCCTAAATATATTTCAACTGAGGGACTAGACAAATCTTTTTTTTCCAGTGCCTGGTGTCTTTTTTGGAGTTCAGAATGAATGTTTTGTATAAGTGCTGTAGGTGATATTAGGCTCGATTCTAAATGTCCACCTAATGGTTTCTGGATGGCTTGAATATATTCAACAGAAGTTTTGTATTCACGAATGTCTTCTTCTTTCAATCCATCTTGACTTTCGAAAGCAGAATTAAATTTTTTCATTACTTCTGAACAATACTCGCCAATATTCTCGCTTATGAACCGTAAAGACTTTTCATATGCGTCTTTGACGAAGCCTTCCTTTGTCAAGTCCTTTAATAGTTTTAAAATATCCAAGTAGTACTTAACGAGATCAATATTTTTATGTTTTGCTGCACATCGAATGCTCATTTCATAGCGCTGAGCTTCGTTCGAAATAGTCTTTTGTGTCTCTGGAGACATAGAAAACCGAAAAGCTTCTTCTGGAAACGTGATACCTTTTGCTCTCTGCAATGTTTCGATAAAAATTTTCGGATCACCATGAATGGGATCGATTTTCTGAGCGTTCTTCTTGGTTTTCCGAATCAAATCTTTTAGTACTGCTACGAAAGCACTATCCAATCTTAAAAAAGGATCTGGATCTACCACGTTTTCTTTAATATTCAATATATAAGCATGAATATCTGTTTTCGAAGGATATTTTGTAAATGCATAATGTATAGCATCCAACCGATCTTCTATATTGGAGATCATTTTAATCAGAATGTACGCTAGATGTTGAATGCCTTGTGCTCTGTCGCCTAAGCTTTTGAAACTTGATAAAGCAAGTATTTTGACACTCTTACAGCCCTTGAGAGCTTCTATGATCCCTACCGCATTTGCAATGTCTACCTCGGGACCTGCTGTGTCCCCAAAGCCTGGTGCATCGCATAAAATAATATTTCCAGTCTCACCAGGACCAAGTATATCCTTCAACGGTATTGTTACAGGTGTAATGTACCTAGTCTCCGATCGACACTCTGGATTACTTATCACATCTTTCAACCCAGGATAGTTCGGGACTTTCACTGCTGTTATATGGTCCAAAAATCTTCCAGGCGCAATTTCTTTAGGGCAGTCTTTCATCTCACAACCTGAAAGGAATTGAATTGTGGTCGATTTACCAGCTCCAGTCCCACCAATTAAAAAAATGATTTCTTTGTCACGGATTAACTCAGCTGCCTCTTTCGTCCTTTCTACAA